TATTGAAAACAAGGGCCAAACCATTTTGCCCAATTCTGAGAGTTGATAAGTCGGTTAGTTTTTTTCCATATCTGCCTAGTAACATGTAGCCAGATGTACAGTGATCCCTCTCCTATCGCGGAACTTGCGTTCCGAGACCCACCGCGGAAAGTGAATATCCGTATAGTATAACTGTGCAGAGCAAAGTGAATGAGTGGCGGACAGACAAGGGGAGATGCTGACGGATGCCATGATGCATGAGCCAATCAGCATAAGGAACAGGAGAGCATGCTCAATGCTGTGTTCGATCTCCTCGAGGTACGAAACTATACTTTACTTTTTTTTTTTTTTTTTTAGGTTAGAAAATGTTTTTTATCATGAAAATAATAAAAAAATGGAAATGAAAAAAAAAAAGTTATTTACCGTGAAATACCGCGATATAGCGAAACTCTTGCGACTCATCACAAACTCATCCAGTCGCTACTTCCTCCCGAGATGGATTGTGTCAAGTCTGTCTGTTTTCCTTCCATTCTGTCTATTTCTGTGGGTGTCACCACACTTACTCGTGTCCTGTGATTACCTGTCGAGTCAGGCAGCTATGTGTCATGTAATGGTTGTCGTGAGTTCTTGATTCTAGCTTGCTGTTTTTTGCCTGGTCCTGATTCCCGTGAGTTATCCTAGCTATTTGTTTTTTTTGGACTTGGACTTTATGAATTAACTGCACCTGATCTTGGTCTCTCGAGTGCTGCATTTGGGTCGTACCTGCTTCCTGAATCTCCTGAAGGAAACAGATTGGATGTAATTTTTGGTCTTTCAGCAACATAAAAAATGTAAACGTGATTTCATGAATCTCAGCTGTCCGTGCCATTTACTGTTTTGTGATTGGGTCACACGAGTTATGTAGGTGAATTTGAACAAGAAAATTACTTTTATACCTTTATAATGTTTATATAAAAGATTAGACAGTCCAGAATTAGATTAGATAGAACAAAATCTTCAACGAACGGAACCCATGGTCTTTTCCTTATTAAAGAACAGCCTTTTGGATTTTTTAAGGCGGCATGCGACCTGAACACCTTAAAGCAGTGGTCTGATTCTGGAGGATGTTTTATTTTGAAAAATTACTTGCTTGTGTTTCTGTCACTTAGTTATCAAAAATAATAATTATCTAGATGCATAAGAACTGGGATGCTGCTAGGTGATTGGCTGGACGTCTCATGCGCTCTGATGAGCGGCGTTAGTAGTGGCATGAATTTGTACTACTCTTGTGTAAAGTGTTCGTAGTCTGATTTAGTCATGAATAGGGTCATGGCCTGAGGTTTAATATATATATATATATATAATTATTTTTTTCTTTAGCATTTTCTTATTAGATTTTTTAATCAAATTTCAGTTACCCATAGAGACAACAAGGTGTTAACATGTAAAGGTCTTATAACAGTTGTCCTTGGTAGATTTATCATTTCGGCTGGCGGCCTTATATGTGTATTTTATTTTTAATTTATGCACATAATTAACTAGTATTCAGCAGTACAGCAGTTTCGGCCTGTGTCTGAAAACAGCAATCAGTGGAAATGTTTCAATTAAAAGGAGAGAATATTTCACCTGCGTATGGAGAAACCGAATCCTTGCTAATGACTTTGTGGAGGCACACAATTGCTGCTGCTTCCTCTTCATTTCAATTACTTTAGAAACAAAATTACACTGAGCTGCAGTTCAGATTTATTTGTTAAAAAAAAAAGCAGCAACATCATGCAGTATGGTAAATGGAGGTCTTTCTGTAATGCACAGACCCTCTGAAGGTTTGGTCTATACAACTTTGCTAAATATAAATAAACCACTAGAGGCTATTTAAGATCAGTGTTTTCAATTCAGTTTGAGCCATTTGTACGTGTTTTACATTATAAACCCCCCCCTGCTGCGCCGTCAAACAAAATGTCACAAATCTGAGTCTCTCTGTTGTTTTAGTTTTAGGTTTTTATCTTCAACTTGTGCCACTAAGAGGAAGAGTGTTTAATTCTTCTTCCTGTCACCATTGCATTGATGAAAGAAAACAAATTATTCGCAGCAGATAAATAATTATTTTTAGAACACTTGGTGTGAAAATTGAATCTGTTCTATCTGATTTTTAAGAGAGACAAAATGTACGCCGGGGCTAAAAGAGAGTCACGCTTTCCTTTTTAGGAAAAAACACATAAAGACAGGTTTTTTCAAACATCTGGTCTTACATTTAGATGCTTATTTACTTTTTTATTTTTTACCATTGTAGACTGATGTCCTAAACATGAATTTTATGCGCTAAAATATGCTTCGGAACCTTTCTACTAAAGGTGTTCTCCATCTCCGTTCCTAATGTGAAAAATGAACTCACTGTCAGAGCCCCATTGGTCGGCCCATCCCCAGAGTTCGTTAATTAGTTAATTAGTCTAAACAGATGGCTGTGAAACACAGATCAGATGTCTCTCTAGGCCTGGAGCAGTAGGAAGGTGCAAGAAGGTGAGGTGAGCAGCAGTCAACAAACTCTGAACTAGGCTGTGTAGCCGTACAATACAAAAAAAAAAAAAAACACGAGTAAGCTAACGGTCTATCTGTTATTTAAATGTCCCTGGAATTGAAAACTGTAAACGTTTACAGTTACTAGGTAAAGATCTGCAATAGTGCATCGTGGGTTTTTTTTTTTTTTTGGTTTTCTTCTACCACTGCTGTTTAGGTAATCATTTTAAATGTTGTTATCTACTCGCATTCCCATCATGATTCATTTTGTGGCGTGATTACAAAACATTCGTTCAAAAACATTTGGTTTCAAACCCCTTACACACTTTGGGTAATATGCTGACATCAGCAGTACGTATTACACTTTGGTGATGCCTCAGACTGGCGATAAGAAAAGTCAACTTTACAAATAATCCTATAGTGTGTAGCATATATTTGAATTATAGCATTTATTTATAGCATTCCATTGAGCTACATCAATTTAATCGGTAGCCAAACATATAAGTGAATACATTTTATTGAGTTAAATGTAAGTCGATCACATTGGCCTGGTCATCTGAATAGAGGTTGTCAAGCCAAAAAAGTTTGGACACCACTGCAATTAAGTAGAATCAGTGTTCTGTTTTTTCTTTCGGCTAGCACGTCACATACAAACTTTAGCTAAATTACTGCAACCTATTGGGCTAGAGTGTGTGCATCCGTGTCACTTGATTGGACAGGAACCGAGTATGGTGCATTAAATGCAGTTGTAAGTGACTATCTGTCTGTATGAAGCATAAAATGGATACGAGTACTGAGGATTCAGTTGTTGATAATGACTGGACAAGCTCTACATTTGGTCGTAATAGCGAGGTCATGACCGAAACTAGCCCGATCCACACTTTCACTCAAGTACGAATTTCGCGTACTTCGTCCACCACTGTCAGAAAATAATGGGTCACGTAAATAGTCCACGCTATATTCGCAGACGCGTAACCTGCGTGCTTAACAGAAGCTTTCAATCGACGCACAAAAGCGGACAAAGGCAATCAACAGTGTCTTACCGTCAGGGATAATGTATTCAAATACTTTGAGATAAACCAAAAATAAACTCCTCTTTCGTCACCATCGTTTGCTCCGCCACAGCGTGCTCCACATTTACCTGCGAGTACTTTTCCGTTCTCCCCACCTCTGCTGCACACAGCCTGCAGCCCACTCACCTGTGGTTCCATCTGCTCCTAATTAATAAGCAACCCACCATTAATATTGCTCTCATTCACACACTCCTCGCCTGATCCTTTCGGGGACTCCTTAAGGGGCTGACTTCTGATTTGTGGCTACAATTCCTGCTCTATTTTTACTTTAACTTCACATGTGTTTACTGGCATATGCCCTTTGTGTGTCGTTTTTTTTTTCTCTGCCACTCCTGTGGACTCAGTTTAGGACCTCGATCATTTTGTATTGTGAAATGCTTCGGACCAACACTATATGGTACAAATACACACGTATACTCTTTCAAATTCTCAGTACACATGAAACCTTGAGATCAAAGTGTGTCATGGGGGAATCATTATAATGGAAGGAACAGATTAAGTACATGACATCTGGATAAAATCACAGCTACCTCAGGTCATTCACTTGCCTTACGCAATTTTACATTAATTAGCAGTTAGCACGGATGAGCATCACATGGTTAATAGAAGCAATTGCTTTTTTGGTCCAGGTCTCTCAGTGGTGTGGCCCTTTCCACTATGGCGGAAATTGCATAGGGCGAAGAATATGTGTCACCTTTGATGAGTAATAGGCATGCTGCATATATATATATATATATATATATACATAGAGTACATATATATATATACATACATATATATACATATATACATACATATATACACATAT